CCTCCCATTCTACTTTTAAATACTCTAGGAACAACAAGTAGGCCTGGAGGCAGGAGTATCTCTGTCAAGGTCTACAAACCAAAGATGTCTTACTGAATGGAAATACAGAAAGTTTAGGACATGCTGCAAAGCACTGGGTGGCACTCGAGGCTATACTCTGTGATCAGACTCTGACCGATCATTTTACATTTTACAGTGCAGATGGATGATGACCCAAGGCTGACTGTAAAAGAAGCGACCCGCGAGTTTCTCAAAGCAAAGAAATGGGGATATTCTTCAATTCGCTAAGTCAGTTACCCGAGCTCGATTCAGCAGAGCAGCTTGGGTGTAATTCATAAACACTTAATGCAATATTTTTGTTAAAGCCGTTGGATTAAAGCTGAACTTCTCCACTTCAGCCACATCTTCACTGTTTGATTTCAAATCCCCTGTAGGCAAAGGCAAAATTGCAGTTGTGCCAGTTTCTAAATACCAATGGAGCTGGAAATGCATCATTTTTCTTATGTAAACACACTGAAATTGAAATCTATTTTAGTCTACAAAACACAAACAACTCTATATGTTTTTATTAAGAAAAGATCTTGTTAACTTTCTACACAGTTGGAATATGATCTAAAAGCTAGAAACACAATCGTTTATGGACAAACAAGTCTGAGACTCACTCGTCTCCCCTGACAGACGACGATTCAAACAAAAACTGAGCTCAATCAAGCCGAGTTCAGCAGGTGCCTTCTCCTGCTGGCTCAGGCCTCCAGAGACCGTCCTCATTAAATGCTCTGTGAATGCACAGCTCAGTGCATCCACAGAACGGGAGATTTTCACTCTGTCAGCATCTGATGTTAAAACGTCAACCACGATGAGCCTCTGTTGACTTGAAACTTTGATTTCATAAGCAAAAATGACCCTACCTCTAATAAAGTTTGAAAACATTGGAAGATATTGGCTTCTTTGAGTGATATAGACGCTTCTGCTACAGATTGTTTGTTGGATATTTAATGTTTCTCCAGGATCAGCTGAAGCGATATGGCTTTATGATGTAAGACGATGGGTCTAAAATAGATTCAGGCTGCTCTGTGGTTCAAGACAAAAAAAGACGCCATCATCTCGCAGCGTTTCAAACCTTAACCACAATCGATGGTGTTTAGCTTATTGCTTACAATGCTGAATACAAATAATTCTTTTAAGAATTATTAAAAGAATTCTTCAACTTGTACATTAACGACATCTGTAAAGTGTCCAAAGTATTAAAAATGGTTCTCTTTGCTGACGATACAAACA